AAAAAATAGGTTCTAGATCCAATATTATATTCATTTCATTTTATTTTTTTGTAAAACCATTTTTTAGGATTATTATATTTAGTATTTATACCTATATACATTTTGATAGCTCAGAAACTACTCTTTCAAAATTTTTTTTTATAAAATATGTAGATGTCGATCCAACAACATTTTCAAAAAATAAAATGCGTAACAGTTTATAGTAAAATAGGTTGTTTCTTGTTCGAAAAAAAGTTTGTAACACTATACTAAGTACTGACACTATCAACTTAACTAAAAAAAATGCAATAAAAATGTAAATAACTAAGCCCTTCGCCCTATGATAGATTGCTTTAAATTGATTTATGAAGTTGCCACATAAGCCGGCAAACAGACCCTAAAATAGTGGCCATATGTCAACATTTAGAGCTAATCTCATTCACTGTGTTACACCTATTTGGAATTTTTGGCTATCTACATCTATATAATCATAGATTCATTGTTCATTATAATAATATTACCTGAGAGCGCTAGACATTTTATTTTGCTGGTAGATTTTGTGTCACCTTACTAAATGTGTATCTTAAATCGAGACCTTAAGCACTTGAAACAAAACTTGAGCAAAAGTGTAATATATAATAATAATACTAAACATAAAATAATCACTATCATACATTATCATTTCATAGCATACATTATAAAAAGGAAAATGGGATTTAGCATGCTAGGAAAATAACTTAGTATAATACACTCAAAAAAAAATTACTTTAAAAGAAAAGTTCAGTGGGTTCAATTATTTTTTTGAAAGAATAAAAATAAAATCAAAATTAATAAATCAAGTAATAATTACTTTATTTATGTATATATATACTTTACTATATACCTAATTAGGTATATAGTAAATTATTTGATAGAAAATATGTGATGATTTTTTTCTAAGTTCTCGCTTATTATTGTATAAGAAAGCCGAGGGAAATTTGCTGTAAGTGCGAAGATACGTCTGATAAAATAAGTCTGCAATGTATACTATACTGTCTCATTTCCCTTAATATAATATAAACCTATACAATAAATTAATAAGTAATATATTTATAAATATTTTGTCGAAAACATAATAACTGCAAGTACGAGACTGAGAGTGAGGTACGATGAATAATAATATTATTAAATGGATTGATGCGTGTGGAGTGTGTATTTTAATTTGTACGTACCTACTATACACATATATAATAATTATATGTATATAATAATAAATAATATGTAATATTATATTATAATATACATATATAGGATATCCCATTTGATCTACCGTAAAATAAGCATTGCATTTGAAATATAATAACTGGTCGTCAAGAAACCGACCAGGAAATCGAGTTCTGTTCGGTTTCTCCGCGAAACTAGAGAAAAAAACATATACAAATAAATATGCATACACTATATATATATATATATATATATATTATACTTGTACATATTATAATCAGACGCTGCTTACCGAATTAGCATTTTTGTGCACACGAAATGTGTATAAAAATACACACACGCGTTTCACTTTTACTTCACAATTCGCATTTACTGTATACCAATATATACAGAGTGATGTATTTTAGTGTATACACTTATTATTTCAAAAATAATTATATTTACACAATTGTGTGTCATTGCAAGATATTTAAAAAAAAAAACAAATAATTTTTTTAAATTTTTGAATAACAACACACGTTATTAATTTTAAATTCTTAATCAAAATATTTTTATTAGTGTATGTACTTTGGTTCAAGTTACCATCAATCAATTATTTTTTGATTAGTTATAAGTATTTGTGTAAAGATTAGAATTTTAGATGAGCTATGAGCCAAATATCAGACCAACACTTAGTGCCATAGGTTCATCAGAGCTCTATCAAAACATAAATACTTTTAACCAATTAACTATGCTTGTTCGAAATTATATTTGTATACATTGAAATTGGTCCTGCTACCACGATAAATATTCTGCTTAGGGGTAAGAAATTAATAATGTATGTTGACATTCAAAAAGTAAAAACTTGTTGTGCTATACATTTTAAAAATTCAGTTTTTTCCGAAAATTGTTATTCTGTATCAACATTAAATTTTGTAAAAATAATATTTTTAAAAAAAATCTTAACTTTTAAAAATATGATAATATAGACACTAAATAGATCACACTTGTACAAATAATGTATAACTATAGTGACCTACGATGCTTGTATAATAATATATCTATAATATTTTGTAAGTATAAAAGTATGTTTACATAGATTTTTTTTTTTACTATGATAACTAATTAATATTCTTGATGGGTCACATTATGAATCTGGAAATTGTTCAAAGGCCATCAAAATTGCTGAAGCCGGTAAAAACTAATGAACAAAATAATAACTTACAATTCTAGAAAGTACAATATTATCGGTCTTCACTTTTTTCTTTTTGGGAGACGAAAAAAAATTGGAGATTTGGTGACCCTTGCCGTAGGGTAATAAATAATAGGTCACTCATCTGATGGTAATGTCCTGATCTGTGGTAATAATAGAACTGTGATAAGAATTTTTTTTTTGACATTGTAACACAACGGTAATTTTTATAATAGTTTATTTCTGTAAAATGTCAATTAAAATTATTTTTTAGGTTAAACAGATTGAAAGTGTAAACAATTCTTCTTACTCATAACTTTCATTTATATTTCATAAACATATACAAATATAAAAACATATAAACTGCAAACATTGTTTATATGCATTTGAAGATTAAGTCCTGAACAACTTTGTTAAAATCATGACAATTTGATAATTATCTAATTATTTGTAACCTAAAATGCATAAAATATTTAATTTCTATAACTAGAAATGCTTGAAAATGTAACACCAGTTTTTATTAGTTTTTCTTACAGCATTCTAAAAAATATTTAAAATACAAAATTAATATTATTTAGCGATAAAATTTTTTTTTTATAGTAATTTAAAGTTCAAATGTAGATGAAATTGGATATTTAAACAAAAAATAACAATTTTAGTTATTTTGTTGTAATTGAAAACAACGGGTACCTATCAATCACGATATCTTGAAAATATTTTCACTTCATATTGTTTATATATCATACTATTATTTTCTTTACACAAAGAAATTTGAAAAAATATTTTTTATAACTATATTGATAATCAAGGCTGGGCATTCACGAGTTGATAAGTTTAAGTTAAATTACTTTTAACTAAGTTAATTAACGAGTTACTTGTTTTTTAGAAGTATATTCTAACTTAACAAAATACATTTTTTACCATGTTATTCAGTAACTTATAAGATAGTTAATTTTATCACGTTAAGTTAATTGTTTTCCTAAACCACAGGTTTAAAATAAATTAAATTTTGAAAAAATTTATTTTATAAAATTAAAATCAGAGATATTAAATATACTAATTAGTAAATAATAATTTATAATAATATTTATTAGTTTATTACATTAATTCAAACTCACAGAAAATATCATATAACTATATTATAAACTGAAATGTTATAGAGGTAACGGCGTCATAAAAGAAAAATATAACAATTTACTAAGTACCCCACACACGTTTATAATGTTTGTGTCTCATTGGCTATTACCTACCTAATCATTATTAATATTATTACTTATTATTATATTTGTATTCATTCATAGAATTACAGCAATAACTTGGCCCGTCAGTGTACATAATTTAAACCTCAGTTGCTTGGTAGTTCATCGTATTTAACCTTAATTAAATAATTACCCGGGACGCTGATTCCTTTTTAGTTTTAATAAACCACCCGCAATAAGTGTGGGCCGTTATAATAGATTTTATTTTAATAGCTTAGTAGTGGACATTAAGTCCTAAACGACCTAAACAAAATATAGTGTGTCGAGTCCTCGACTGTGTCATGTGTCGTCGATAATTATTTTTCACATTTTAGTTTTCTTACTGCTTTCTGTGGAGCTGTGAGCTTTGACATATTATTTGTCTACTAAAATGGTAAAATACAATAATGGTTTGATTAAATATTGTATTCTTACTATTAATTGAACAATATTTAATATTTTATATTGTGTAACCAATTACTATTATATTCTAATAAAGAATAATGAATTTAATTAGTATGATATTTGGTATAGTTGTGAACTTTTTAAGTTAACAAACTTGGATTTCACCATTGACTAAAGTATAATATACAAATATGTACCTACCTACAATAACTAATTTTGTTACAAACATTTATTTAAAAATTGAAAGACATTTATTGAATTATTATGTTATTTGTTAGCTTTAAAAAAAGGTAGGTAGGTATGATTATTAATTTTATATTTAAAAAAAAGAGTAACTTATTTTTAACTGAATTAAGGTACTTTTATTTTGTAATTAACTTGTAACTTTTACAAGTAAAAAAAATTAAGGTAACTTTTAACTTTAAACTTAACTTACGTTTTCCTATATTAATTTAACGAGTTAAAAAAAAATAGTTAACTTACCCAGCCTTGTTGGTAATAGGTACTACGAACCACTTCGTGGTACCTAGCGTGGTATTGATTTAGAAGTTAATACTTAATAAGTATAATTACAATAATTTATGATTTAATGCTGGACGTTCTTGGCAAGAATTAGCTAACTAATTGAAAAATTAATTACTACAGGTATTAGTAATATAAATAAATTATAAAATATCAATAGAAAAATAGACACCATATTATACGCATATATTTGTTTTTTGTAAGTATGTAATGTTTGAGTTACAAATTGTGTACATCCATTACAGTGACCTACTCAATGTCTAAGTATATCTATTCAAAACATATACATCCCCGTTTCATTTATATTATTGTTTATAATACATCAAATTATAATTTTTTTTTTGTGAATAATTCATTTCATCTCTATTTTCAATTTATCAATTATTGTTTATTTTTCATTTTTTAAAACCTATATTATAGTCACCATCAAATAAAATTATTTTCTATCTAGCCTTCTATCATTGCAGCTACCTTCTATATTGACATATTATGTGGTACAATACGTACTATTGTTTCATGGCTGCATTTACGTAGTGATGGTATGCGATGTTATGTAAGAATTGTACATTTACAATCCTCCATAAATTTTAATTCGCTGTGGTAGGACAATAGTACATACAACGCATACAGGAACAGCACTGCAACAAAAATATTATTTTTAGTAAGGCCGCGATTTCAATTTAAAAAAAGTCACTGAAGCTTTCTGAGCCTTACACTCTTTTGACTCATTACCATAAATACAACTTTGTACTTGCACTCACATTCAATAATCACACACAATTGAGATAGTAGGGACTTTGAAAAATTTCAAATTATTGAATGTCCGATTTATTGAAGAGTTTAAAATATTGAGAAGGCATTCAAAAAATTTGAATCACAAAGAGTTATGAAAAATGTATTGTAGGTATGTTGTGTATGTTTTATAATTAAAGTACGGGTTTGTATTCAACTGCATATTTTTGGATTTTTGTAAATAACCTTTACAAATCATACTAATTACTAATTAGAATATAATTTCATATTTATTGCACAAGAATTTCAATGAAAATTATGTGGACAAAATAATAGTCGAACGTAGAGTGATAATAAAACAGCTATCACAAATAAAAAGTAGGACTTAGGTTTAAAGCTAAGAATGCAAAGTTCACTGTTATCTTTATTTAGTCAAGCTATCATTTGTAATTACTTAAGTAAAAAAAAAATATGTTTATTCATTGCATATGAAGATACATATTTATATATTTTTTACTCAAACTATATAGCATTTTTCAATAATTTTTGTGTATATAAATCAGTGCATTATTTATAATATATCTGTAATAACTAATAATAATGAATATTAATATAGTGGCCTCTAAATTAAATACATGTTTACGTAAATTAAAATATTTAAAGCTATACCTAATTAATATATTTTAAAAATTAGTAATTTTTGTTTCGCTTTATCAAACTGAGTTTAGGTTGGCCAGAAACTGAGAATTGCTGAGAGTTGAGCAGAAAACTTAAATGATTACTCTGAATTATTGAGTGTAAGTATACTTAAATGCAATGTTTGTGTTTTAATTATCCAGAAAATGTTCAAAGGGCAGAACATTTACTTCAAATTATCTAACTTCTTTTAATTATCGGGAATTGGCAGTAATCAGCTTGTGAGGTTCATTGAAGGCGGGGCACAAATATTTCCCTCATTTTTTCGCTATCACAATTTTGAACTTACCACCAATTTCTGTTGCTTTTTAAATAAAATGAAATTCATTTTTTATATAAAAACTTTTTAATATACGTCTTGAACAACAAATAATAATTATACAAAGAAAATTATGGTTTTAAAATAAATAATAAATATAATTATACAGTTAATAATAAGACCTACAAAATCTCGTAAATCGTAATGAAAATAGAATCCGGGCACAATCGGATTGTGCCCTGCAACGAAGTATTAATTCATTCCGAAAAGTGGGGGAGATCTAGTACCGTTGATCGGGCCATCGGGGCACAAAGTATTTGTTGAATGATTGAAATGATTGAATGTTGTTTAATGATATTATAATATGTGCGTATTGCACCCAAGTATTTGATAGCATTTTATTTTTGTTAATATTTTTAAATAATACACCAACTATATTATGATAGAATAAACACCAACTCAATTTTAATTTAATACACACTTGTCTTCTGTCTTTCCATTTTGTAGGTGGGGCAAGTGACCGTGTGCCCTATAGCACTAGTCGCCACTGGTAATAGGTAACATACATTTATAATAAAAACTATTGAATCATAATCAGCAGATATGATAAGAGCGCTGATTAAAAACTGGGGAGAACTAAGCAGTTTTTTGGTATAGGTTTTTGATTGTTTATATTTTTAAATGTATCTTAATTTGACAAAAATACGTAAATAAAAATTGTAATTATCATAATATACCTAATATTTATTATTTATTATGCTGCAGTAAGATGACTGGCAACTTCAAGCATGCAGAAAAGAAATAGTGGAACCTTACGCAAAAAAATTGCCATAGTCACAAATTCTATGGGGCTAGCTGCAGCTTTGCTTCCCTTTGCATCAGATTCAGCACCCTTTTCTTCAGAATCTGGCTCATCATCTAATTCTTTATGTGGTACCTTCTTTTTTTTCTTTCGAAGTTGTATCACCGCCTCCGTGGCTTGACGATACATCGCCATATTTTTCCTGTACTCGATGACGCGCGTTCTTAAATCGCTCGGCGGGCTTTCAGTCGTCGTCCGCGGGTGACGTTCACATCCACACCCGTCGTTGACATCGATCACCATACTCGTTTGGTTTGAAATAGCAGTATTGGCAACAGTCGTGGTAACAACGACAGGGGTAGCTTGGGGAATTACGTTCGTCCTCACGGGATGAAAACTTTTAAAAGTTATTTCTGGTAAGTCATTTATCAATAATATTTCTTTGTCTCCTGGATCTTCGACAGGGGGTTCCTTAAAATTTGTTAAAATTGTCAAGTGATAATAAATATTATATTGCTTATATTACCTACATACTATAGCAAATACATATAAAATTATTTAAATTCAACAAGAAACTACTTATTGCGACTTTTTACTTTTTTTTTTAATCAACCTACCTAACTTGTATACATGACTGTATACTCATATAATATGAAATGTGTGTATTACATGTCATTATGTTAATATAGTTGTCTCAAATTTATACCTAAAATTCATAAAGAGCAATGTATAATAAGAAAAAAAATATAATTGTTTGAAAATAAAATTATTTTTTACGGTGCTTACAGTATTTCATGGTTGCGAAAGTTATAATTTTCTGGTAATACGATTGCAAACAATTAATGGCAGACCAAAGAAATAATATTTTATACCTTATATTCAAACGATTGCGAACAATTTTTAGTATGCGGTTGTCATTTGTTTTAATTTTTCATATCGTCGTATTCAAACGATAAATATATTATAAATACGATATCGTGGTTTGCGGAGCCGAAATTCTATACTGTACCTAAATAATTATTAATATTACTTATAGTCGTTATTTGTCGATAAGTCGTCTTCAAATTTAGTTATTTTGTGGGCAGTGGTAAGTGTATCAGTGTAATAGTGTTTGTAATGAAACGAATGATCTTTATCGGCAGCACCTTTTTGAATAACACTATTGCGAACTTATAGGTATGTTTCGTCTTTGTAACGAAAGCCGGTTTAATAATGAAACGATTCCTTATTATTCCTGTATTTAGTAATGTAAATGTTATGCTAACGTCGCTGGATACTATTATCAATTAAATTGTTTAGATTGTTTTTAGATGTTATTTACTCTATGGTACAGTATTTCTATATTATTTTTACTAAGTTTGATTTTTTTCCATAAGTTGTATAAACGTAAATCTTAAGTACATAACGGGATAGTTAGCCTAAAGTTAATTAATTACAATTTAAAATGTACAATATAATGGAAACATTCAAACATCGATGACTACAGTGTGTATTTAATATTCTTGAATTCTAAAAATTCTAAAAATTCTTAAACGTAACTAATATAATATAAAATAGAATACTGTTTTATTGGTACATTACGTCATCAGTTGCATTGCCTCCTCCGCCACCGCCGCCAATAAGCCACATTGATGATGCACATCTAGTGTGACTCGCTACGCAGAAGTCACTGAACAATATATTAACAAATATTAATATTATTGAGATGCTAATAGCAGTGTATGTGTATCTTACGTATTTTTCATGAGTATTCTAAAGTATAATGATAAAACTAGCCATACAATAACGAAGATGGCCCAAATAACAATTGACAAAGCTATTGATTTTCTTGATCTCTACGATTAAATTGAGTACAGATTAGTTAAAAGTTAAACATTACAGTACTTACTACTTACTTAAATAATTCATACTTATGCCAATAGTTTTAATATTCAATCATTTCATGCACTACCAGTCTAACTTTTCAATAGTATTATAATAGGTTCTGGGTCAATCGACCGACTACCATTTGACCGACAGGACAATCGACCGAGAACTAAAATACCGACAAGATATTTAATTTCACTTTTAATTTATATTCTTATTTTAAAAATCTGCACATAATGTATATTATTGTACAGTATATAATAGTTAATATTGAAAAATATTAAATAATATTACAAATGAAAAATATTAATAATATTACAAATATAATATTAATATAATATAGTATAATATTATTATAATATACAATATTTAATAATGATAAAAATCGTCTTATAATAAATAGTAATGGCTAATTAAATATAATTTAATCGGGAACTTTTATCTAGGGCTGTGAATTTGAAGGAAAATGCATTTTTTTGTTGGCGATTGTGAAACATAGCTTCGTAAGTACATAATTTAAATTATGTAATTACGAATCCATTTATGCAACTTTTATTTTGCATTTTTGTGCATTTTTAGGTCATATTTTCCTTTTTTAGTTCATTTTCCAGTGTTTTTAATCAAATTCCGTCAATTGACTGAAAAAATAATTATAAAAAAAATTGTTTTGTACATAGGCTGTATATACGTCGATAAAATAAGGCAATTGCTAGATAACTACATAAGTTATTTGTAAGCTATTTATTTCTAAAATTTATAAAAAATGTTTCAGGTGAATAGCATTAAGTAAAGAAAATTCAAATTCAATCAACATTTTTATTATTATTTTTTTGATTAAATAAACACTTGTTTAAGGGTTGCCGGTCGATTGTCCACCTTCCATTTTAATAATATAATATAATTTTGCACCTATACTAAATAGTCTTCGAGGTTTTAGGAATCGAATCCCTATTTATTTTTGTTTGAAACTGTATTTAAAAACATTAAAAGAAAATGTATATGTACCAATTCATGCAATAATAATATTATGTTGATCCATATTCTGTTATCTTATAAAGATATGATTTATATTATTTTTTAATTTGTAAGTCTAGTTATTATCCCACTGTAGCCTACATTATATTAATTATACAAAAATATTATAACTTACCGAATTAGCTCCTGAAATTGCCATGCACCAAGTGAATAGTAACAAGATTATTGTTACCAAAAAAATGGGATTCCCTAATAACGTAAAAACAAATTCATTATTAGCTTTGAATATTATAAAAACAATAATGAAGAAGATATAAGAAAAATATGAATCTACCAACCTGAAATTATACTTGATAACTCGGATACATTCACCACAACTATCAACAATGTCAAAATCTAGAATAGGTAATTTATGTATTTTAGTGGGAAAATGGTTTAATTTTGTTAAAAAAAAACCAAATTGATAATTTATTTATTTGGTATTGTGTATTTAATTCTTACAGAATTGATCTTAATTATTGTTAGCAATGCCTTCATACATGTTATACGATAATAAATATTTATCAGAAGATTATGAAAGGTTAATATAGACTTATTTTACCTATATATAATAAAATGTCAGTGATAAAAGTTCGTAGTTAGTCTAAACAAACCTAGAATAAAGTTACTTAAATTTAAAACCTAAGATATAGTAATAATAATTTATATAATTTATTAAACTCGTTGAGAGATTAAAATATTATATGAACCCATATAATGGAGTAAGTTAGTGATGGAATCGTACAATATTATGTAGGAACAAATATCTACTAACAGAAATACAGTTTTCGAATAGTAATTGTCAAATGAGCTAGTCACCTTTATTTTAAAAAAAATGTAATAAAATATTGTAAAATAAAAAGGTACAAATCATTTACCGTAAAAATTCCTGTTAAAACTGCCACTCCAAATTCTAATGTAAAAGACTGAACACATAAAAAGTTATAATTAAAAAATGTCATTTTGGTTTTCTGTTGTAAAATGACTTACAAAATAACATTGAAGTCATAATAAATTGTGAATGTGTACCGATCGTTTTTATTATAATGTTACTAAGTATCGTCACTACGGCGACTGTTCCATGGAAATCACGAATTTATTATGTTGCGATGGGTGGTGATACACCTAAATATTAATTTTTCTAATGAATCAAATAATTTAGGTCGTTTCACAGGGGCCTGTTGGCTGTGGCAATGACTGACGAATTTTCGGGTCCCCGGACGTGATCAAGTGATGGTTTTTACTCGCATAATATTATATTCATTACCATACTGCTCTAGTATTCTATATATTTACGATTTGCAGTGCATTATAATAGGTACTTGCGAGGATTTTTGCACAATCAAAGTCATCGTGACACACGAGTGACACGGCAGTAATAATAATAATAGTAATAATAATATATTAATATATATGTTTACAGGTTTTTATCGCTGCAGCCTGCAGTCAACGAGCCACGGTCGAGTTATAATATTGTAACATTATATTAAAATATTATAGTGTGTGTACTCACCTAACCGTCCTAACCTATAAATACCGACAACGTTATATTGGCATAATAATTAATTGTGTGTGTATATTTATAACTAAGACGTGACCTACCATGATAATAAATTGTATATTTGTATACTATAAATTGTAACTATGCCTATTTGTAAGGAACAGGTTGTCTACAATATGATTGGTGGGAAATTCACTCGTGTTGACGAAAGGATGGCACCAGAGGGCAATGATGAGCGGCTTTATTAAAAAACTTCTATCCTTCCAGATCTGCAGATTCCGTTCTAGGAGAGCAAGTCCTTTTGGTAGTTCATCCCATTTGGTGGAATGTAATTTGAATATGAAACTTTTACGTTTTAATTCTCACGATTTTATGAGTATGAGACCCTTTTTTAATATTTAACGACAATACGACACGGATCCGTCCGTTAGTCAGTGTTAAACAGTTTAACTATAGGGATCACTGTTTCCCGTCCACTGCAATCAGGCCGTTATTTATAGTACTTTAGTCTTTAGACTAATCTTAATATTTATTACAGTAATCGACCGTGTCAAGGTGTGACAATAAAATCTTAGATCAATTTGAATATTTGTAACAATGCAAAAATAAAGTGATATATGAGCAAATCATTACATATTTGTTGTGGTGTAAAATATGGTAGTTTATAAATTTTTTTGTATTTACCATTGTATGCCTTGTACATTAGCAAATTACACATGGTATATGGTATATAATATTTAAAATTTCATGATTTTCAAAAATAATGCAAATTGCATAAACATTACTCAAAATGTGTTAACATTTTAATAATGATAAAAAGTGAGTTTTGCTTACACTTAATGTTTACTTATAGGTACTAACATCAAATTAACGAGTAATAAGAAAATAGACTAGGTAAATTAAAGAAAAATTTTATTAATAGGCACCTAAATTAGAGCCAATTATAACAGTTGTGATAGAAGGTACAGGGGAAAAACGGTAGTAATCCATTTCCATAAATTGTTCAGGAGAGTAAAAACAAATTTTATGGAATTCTACTTCATTTCTACTCATCTAATTATTAAACAAAAAATATGATTCATGAACTATCATTTTATTAAAATGTATTATCTTTGAAAAGTGATTGAAATAATGTGATTAATAGTGATTTGATAACAAACATTAATCATGCTAGTGTCCATCGATTGACATAATTTTATACGGGGTGTATAATAATGTATCAAATATGCATAAATATTATACATATCACATCACTATAATATTATGTTAAAATAAAGTGATTTATCTGTGTGTTATTGTTTTCAAAGTAAGTACCTTAACCAACTGTCGTATGTATATCCCAATAATCTAAACAGTAAACATATACATTACCTAATTAAATCACTATATATAGTCACTATAAAAAAAATTATTATTATGAGGCACTCCCTTAGGTGCTCGGATCGAATACGATACCTACTGTCATCACTCATCACGGATAGAGGTGTTATTCTTATTTTAGTTCAAGTTGATGTGCAGCTTTTAGTGGTGGTGGGTCTCGAAATATATAACGGTGAATTAGATACATTTATAAATGTATCTGTGTTAAAAACAAGTGGTTTTTATTTTTCAAAATAATTGTACTTTATTTAAATTTATAAGCATTAACTGCTAGTACTACTTTTATTGTACTATATATTAGACACAAATTTTAATTTTTAAATAATTTTTTTATAAATTTTGATACCTTAGCGGGCAATATTTCATTATATAGTAGATACTAGTGTTAGAACTTTATCATAAAATTAATCCTTTCAAATGTATCCAGTTATAAATATTGTACTTTTTTAAAAGTTGAAGTGGTGCGTCTTCGCGTCTACTCTACAACTGGTATTTTTGCAGTTTTGCTAGAGTCTGACTGCGTCCATAGTTTTTCATAACATGGGTATCAAAACATTATTTTAACAATAAATTGATTATAGTACATCAATAGAAAATGTATTGAAAAAACAAAACAATAATAAATACAGAAAACTAAATGAAATAGAAAAAATATTGAAATTATACATTTTGGGATGTATTCAGTTCACTTTCATAGGTGGTCCTACGGGTGCAGCCTCTGCAGCCTGTGCTGCACCTGACATTACAACCACCACTTTAATTTATTGGTTGAAATAATAAAAAAAATCATAAATCATAAGGTAGATATTTTATAGTTTATATCTTTGTTATTTCACGATATATTGTTCTGATCATGAACTTAGTTGTTACTTTGTTAGTTTCAGTGTTGGATAGTAACGTAACAAAGAATACAAATTACTATTGTAGTAGCCAGTAACGCTGTAGTAATTTTATTATATATTATTTAAATTAACGCAATTGTAACCAAATTTCTTATAAAAGTAATTTCTTTGGAGCAACGTGTTATTTTCCACGTTATTAAAATAAGTTATGAATGTAGAGTCCATGACATAGACTAAGGGTTAAGATATTCGAGAAAAATTAAAAATCGGTAAAATGTATTTACCATTCTGAACATTTTAGATAATAATGATGAATATTATAAAATATGCAGGCATTTTACGTATTTTATTCATGTGTATTACATCCATCCATTATCAATATAGTGTACCTACATAATTAATGTATTACATATACTACTATACAATTTACATATAATAATTAATAGTATACCTACTTCTTATTACATTCGGCATTCGTTATAGACTGAATTTGTCGTTAAATTTTGAAAAAGTAACAATTCATTACGCATTACTTTTTGAATGAAAAAGTAACATAACGTGATAAAAATAATGTCGGGAAACGCGAATTATGTAATTTAAATAAAAATATTTAATGTAATAAGTAGCCAAGTAGGTAACGTAATTAGTTTCTTATCGAAAGTAATTTACCTAACACTGGATAGTTGTTAGCTCGAGATCTGATGATCAAGCCAGAATTAAAGGGAGGAAGACCCTAGGCTAACAGTGGTATCACAGAATAACCTAACCTGGTGGTATTTATAGTCACGCGCGATCACATCTATAATTATCATAATATGAAGAAAAACCAAGTTCGGAGGAAAGGAAATTACTATTTTACTAGTTTCAAAAATTATATGAAATAGTCTAAAGTAAATTATGGTTCATCGATACTCAGTAAATCTAACTTCGTACACATTCCCATTTCCCAATACCCCTAACATTTAAAAATTAACCATCTATGCTGCACGGCTGCACCTGAAGTAAAATCCTGGGACCGCCTATGTTCACTTTCTCATGGTAATCATCAGTCTTTTAAGTATTCAACTATTGCTTAGGTACAGGTATTTGAATGGTTTAAGATTTGAACTGAGCGATGAATGTATTTTGGCATTTCAAAACATACTTTTTCCTTGTAAATTATTCCAGAACACTAAATACTTTATTTCTTTTTACATTTGTATAATATCAACAAACTAACATTCTTGTTTCATATTTTAGTATTTTAAAAATTGTTCCTAAAATAATATTTTTTAATACTTCTAAGAATTTATAAAATTTCATCAAATAAGCATATGAAACAAAAGTTAATATGTATACCTAGCTATAGTTTAACTTGACCTGATTAAAATATAATAAGTATGTGACATCTGCAATTTTTCATTCTTGAACCAATTAAATAATGCATTTATTAATTATTTGAATTTGAATGTGTATCAATAATTTTAAGTACACATTAATGATAAATGTACAAATATTTTATTATATTAAAAAAGTGATTTAAAGTATTTTCAATATTTTTAAAATGTTTTTATGTTTATATGCAAAAACTTTTGAAAGAAAGTATTCGAATACGTACCTATTCCAAATACAAATGACACTAAGTATTTGAATACATTTAAAAAGTATTCTTAAAACCGGTAATGATAAAAAAACTGTGAAGTACCAATGCAAATGAGACTACCTAACAGTTATGTGAGAAAATATTATTTTTTGATTTTAATGTTTTTCGCAACTATAGGAATATCATAAAAATAATAGTTTGGGATACCCATAAGAGATCTCTCGTTGAGTCACACACATTATTTTAATAATATTATATTGTGATGAAATCGAATAATCAAACGAGTATATCACACATAATATTATGCATATAAAAATAAATGATAATTATTTAATACTATCATCCAGACGACCAGACGGAGATAAAATGACGCACAGATCAGCATAGGTAACTTACTTTCAACACACCTGGTACTTATTTACATATGAATCCGAGTCCTAGAAAGGTCAAACCAAAATGTATGGCATTTTACAGTCACTCTATTTGGTAGAAAAATGTTGAGGATGCTTGAAAAAACTAATAGTCTTAATCGAATCTGACTTCAAGCTAATGAAGGAGAGGTAGCCAAAACCCCAAATCTCTAAGATACTAGTATTCCGAGGTATCCATAATTTAGTAAACTTAATATTCGACTACCCAAAACGGCAATACAATTTA